CTCTTCGCCGATCGCGAATCTCCTAGAGTCTAGCGAAATAACGGTCTGTAAACATTTATTATAAAATTTCGAAGACAAGGTGCATACACTGACTTAGTTATCAGAATAGCTTCGTTTTCTGTGATTTTAGTCAATAGTTACTTTGAATTTGTGCAAAATAGGAACTTGAGGACTGTTTTCTTTTTCGATCCACTGTACATGTAGTAATATATATTGAGGATGTAATTCAAAATGTTTTTAAATGTCACATGCTGTGTATGCTGTGAATAATTTATTAGCACTGTACGCTTTCGATGTACATTCTGAATATAAAAAAATACTTCGGATGAAGTGTTTTCCCTTAATTCGGATGCAAAGGTTTTGCTGTATCTCCCAGCGTTTTTTCAACATAAACAAACTATATAAACTACATGTATCTCACACAGCATCTCATGTAATACATTTGTAATTAATAAATGACTTTGTTAACTGATTGTTTAGAGTTGATACATGTCTCGGATTATATTCAGTTAACTTATAAATGAAGTCCTACGGATTTTTCGGGTTTTAATTTTCGGCTCCAGTCGAGCTCCCTGTCTGCTTTTCTCCAACTTGTAGTCAAATGCGTTTATAAATATTGAGAAAAATGCACCGTAAAACGTTTTTTCGAGGGTTTGTAGTCTCATGCAATACAGTCAATGTTATGCTTTTATTATTATTATTATTTTTTTTTTTTTTACTTTGCTATCTCTGGGTGATGTGAAGTCAACAGTACAGTTGTCGACGGATATATCGTTTTCATTTGTGACATTTGACGATAATAGTAATAGAGATGCCGCTAGAATCTTCGTGGATGCATGGTGATTTTGCAAGGCCTGTTCCACGTGATTTGCAAGGCCGTTCTGACAACCTGAATCGACTGGATCATTTGAGCCAGTGGAGGTTTTTTATCCTAACACGACACTTTCTTTCCGCAAAATCCAAATTATTCAGGTTCTCTTGAAAGCTTTTTGTCTAAGAAAGCGAGGATATTTGAGCTATCTTAGACAACTTAGAAAATTCAGGATTCATACAGTGGCCACCATTTTTGGCATCATTTTTTGGGGCAATGTTGCATAAAGTGAAATGTAGGTTGTGAAGAGATTTTTCCCCTTCATATCCCAAGCTTGAAACATTTAAAATTATTGGTACAGATTTTCAAGCATTTCTATTACTGAACGATAATTTTGTGAAGTTAGTGGTACATATGCATGCATCAAGAAAATTATCGCTGTTGATGATATTTTTTATTCTTGTCACCTGCTGGCTTGACAATGTACTGAGAAAATAAGAAGTTGAACGATCTTGAGAGTTAATTGAAAGGTTATTGAGAAGATTGAGGTTTTATTTTTGCTGTAAAGAATGCATAGAGGGGTTTTTAACATTTGCTATAACATTTAGAGTTTTAGCAATAGTAGGACATGAAGGTTTGATGCAGGTATTTAGAGTCTAGATGAAGTGGGAACCAATCTAAACAACGAATGAATAATTTGTATTCCAGAAAGAGTTTCAAAAAGTTTGGATGTAGGAGTTTGTCTCTTTGTAACCTGTTCAAAACTTTTACGACCAAGGAATTTTTCAATTAACAGGAAACCTCGAACTATTAATTACTTTCTTTGTTTTGCGGCCGGTTGCCCTTGTAGTGAAGCGTTGACAAACATAGTGGATTGTCATATGTGATGATTGCGAGGACATTGATCCGAAATTAAAAAGTTATTACCTCCTTTCAGTGGATTGCAGGAAAAGCAAACAAGGCATTGTTCCGTGCAAGTGACGTCTGGCGCAGACTCCTCTGGAGCAATAAGCGGTATGGCTTTCGCGGTTTACTAAAGCAATAAGATGAATAAAACACAACAAAGGAGTTCCAAGATGACAGATCCTTGGGTCTGTTAGCTTTTCGAGTTGAAAACGTTGAATAAATTACGTAGGTCTGGATAAATAAATCACTAGCCGGTTGGAGCGCTGCATCTTCACGTTGTTTGCTTTACTTAGAAGAGTGTCTTGTCGGTGCAAAGGAAGGATGTCACCTTATTCGTAACCTGCTATCTTATGTACCCTTACCATGCGTTAAAACTGGTTTATAGAGCTTAACCAATTTGTTCTTAACTCAGATGTTTGCTTGTTTTTGCTTTGAATCTTGTGAATCAGTCGTAATGACTTTATCCCATTCAGCAGACTAAGCGAAGGACAGTGTCTCTAAGAAATCACGGCAAGCACGAGTGCACCGATCAGCGAAGATGAATGGGCAGATAGACCCTATAGGCTAATGTCTTATTACTCTAAGCTATTTGAACAGAAAATAAAAATATGGAGATATTTTGTTCATGATTCACATTCGAAGACCTTCCAGCGAAACTATTTAGCCGGACTTAATCAATTGCCGATCTGCACCAGTAAAAAAAAAACGCCCACGAAACGTCTTTCGGACAACATTCTTCTCAACCCTATCACATGCAAGTTAGTACTAAAACGTTTAGGAAAAGAGTTCAACCTTGACATATATAAAACAGGATACTATAAAATCTTAGGATAAGCACAAATCGTTTCAGTGCAGTAAACAGGTCAAGTGTTTAGTGATGTCTTTTAGCCCAGGTGTCTATCCCATCCATTTAAACTGCAGGCTTAGAAGATTACGCTATTGACACCAGATCTTCGTTTCGTGACCCCATTGTTCCAAGCTTGTACACTCCGGTGAACGAGCCTAGCAACACGATTGTGGCTTAAAACCGTCCCAAATGTCATAGACATCAGGTGGCCTGAAGTAAGTGGGTAGCGAGCTAGTCGGTCAACGGTCATCTTTGCTCTGACAATTTGGCATAGATTTGGACTTCAAGGGAATGGACCAGAAAACAACAACTCAGTGGACGGATTTGCTTGAACTAAAATTTGCTTTCTAGCTGGTCAGTAGTAAACGAGTTCAACTTTCTCAACTTTTTTTTGTAGTTCGATATTATTTTAGTTTCAGTTGTATTTGATGCACAGTTTATGCTCTACAGTTGTGGAATCTAAATTCCAATTTGAACCGTTGAACTGGTAGTGATCTAAAGGAACCAATCTAAAAATATAATAAATTAGTCATTATGCACTTTGTACACATTTAGAAAATCACGGCAATACTAGACTAATTTTTTTCCGAGATATAAGACAAAGTAATCATAGACTGACACTCAGGCAATACTGATAACCAGTAATTAAGTGCAGTTGGACTTTATTAGTAGCCGCCATGTCACATATACTCTACATATCAGTGGTTTTACTTTTTATTCTCTTTCAAAGAGAGAGAAAACCCGTCAGAGAAAAGCGTCAAAACACTCCTGGGTTTTATTTGCATCTGTCTTAGTTTTTACGACGTTTACTGACGCTGCAGTAACATTTCCTTAAAGTGGGCAAGTTGGCAAAATACTGAAAAATTCTAAATTTGATTGGTAAAATACATCTTTGAAAGCAGATGCTGCTTGGTAGCCAGTTTCATATGAATGATCACAAGCTACTGAGGTTTTCATCCACATACTCAAAAGGTTATGAGCTGTAGAACCACAGACTCTCAGAGTAAAACGGTTGATCCAAACGTGCTGGCACATCATAATGTATTCATGATCGCGCGCGGAAACGGCGTATGTTTACCTCTTGTGTAAACTTTTACAAACACTTGATGACAAGGCTGCATAAAGACGCCTAAAAAACATGAATCAGTTCCTTTCAGAGTGAAACAAAGCGAGGCAACAGGAAATGAAATTGCTATGGCGGTTTCTTTTGAAATGGCCCCCATCGACACTCCCTTGACGTCAATGGTGCGTTGTTCATAAATGTGACCTTTATTGTTAGCTTTTTATGGACCGTCTCATCAATAATGGAAAAATAAATTCACAAATCCTTTAGTTGGTATTAAATATATGTTGTATTGGCAGTTTTCCCTTCGTTGATTTACACTTTTAAGGCGATAAGTGCAAAATACGTGATATCTGAAGGGCGTAAAAGTTTTCAAGCGTTAGGTGTATTTTCCTATATACGTCACCTTCACACATTATATTTGTAGGTCTAATAGACATAATAAATCATGGACATTGAGAGCCAGTATCACTGTTTTAAAAACTGTCAGCAGCTAAGCTGTTGCTACTGTTGTGTAGATTAGACCGAAACAGACCACCATCAAATGGTTCACTAAGTTTTGTGCACAATCAAAGCTCTCTTAGCCAGCGTGGACTCGAGACGCCTGCACGCAGGCTAAGCTCTCTGAGCGGACACTCTCGTAAGCGGACAGTTCTACTTACGGCCACCTTGAAAAAACCCCGTTTGAACTCGTACAAATTCTGTATGTTCACATTCCCGTAAGCGTTGTAGACACGTGTTGTGGACACTTTTTCTGCTTCCCGAGGCTGTCCGCTTACAGGAGCTTCGACTGTATTTTAAACACTTGGATTTCAGGAGTAAATTAAATTTAATCTTATATGTCATGTACCCCCTCAATTGCACGTAACAAAACATAATTTTAATATCACAAAGCAGTAAAACTGGATAAGTTTCTGTCTCTCCAAGTCATAAAGTTTTAATGGGTAGTTGCCTTTAGTGTTCACAATTCAGTTATGTTGTAGAAAAAGCATTTAAGGGAACGGACAACCACGAAGAGTTTTTTTAAGGAACACAACTGAATTTGGCAAAGCAGCTCGTCGGTGTAGGCGATCCGTCTCAACTAAGAGGAGAAAGAAGGAGAGAGTTTTTTATTGAAATGAACAAAAAGGAATGTGAGATGCACAACAAACGGTGATCATCGACAACGAGAGTGGGCAAAACAACAGTTAAAAAGAGATTAAAAATAACCCAGTGTTTTGTCCTTGGTTTTCATACCCGGCTTGGGTTAAAAGAACATTAACAAAGCTATTCATGATAAATACAAAGACATTTCGACATTAATGATCAGTATGCAGGACGTATGTCACATATGAACCTATACTAGTAAATTACCCAGCTCGCCATGCACGAGCCTCCCTGTAGCTCAGTGATGTTAGAGCGTCCGACCGGTGTTCGAACAGCCTTGGGTTCGACTCACGCCGGGGACTCAGATGTTTTTCTGTCCCTCCCACGGTCGTGACAAACTGAATACATGCCATTACTTAGTAAAGTCAGTCGTGTTTTCACTATTTTATTGGTACTCTACTTCGCGATCGCCGTTCGCCCATCTTGACTGGATACAGTGATGAATAATAAATTGTCTACTTCAAGAACTAGCATCACTGCAAGTCACTATAATACCATGGATATCTCTTCTTTTTATCAGCCTAGCATGAAACACATCAAATTTTCCACGACGAAGGCTTCGAGAATTGAATGGTTTGGAAATTTATAGTCTGAAATTAAGTGTCATGCAGTCGTCTCCTCGTCCTTCAACCCAATGGTTGAAATTTCAGACTAAGGAGTTTACTTCCTGATGACAGTTGATATCAACTCTCTTTATTCCTATGCGGTATTCTTAGATTGTAGGTCGTCTGATTTTAAAAAAGTAATCTTCATGGAAATGCTATCCTGAGAAGGTTGTCACCCAGAATTTTGTCAGGCTGCCCCAACAGCAGTTCGCCGCATTTACACATCGGGTGAAGAAAAGCACTGTCATAAGGACACAACACGAGAACAGAGACCAGGGCTCGAATCATTGACTGTTAGATCTCAAGTTCAACGCTCTAGTCACTAGACCACCTCGCCTCTATCCAAAAAATTAACGCAATACCGTAGAATTCCGAAAGTAACGGGCCCCCCGAAAGTAACGCCTCCCCCCCCCCCCCCCCCCCCCCCCCCCCTCCCCGGGCCCTGAAAGTCAACTTGGCAGTTGAATAACTTAATTGAAAAAAAAATTATTGTCTCCCATTAATTTACAGCGAATACCAAACAACCGTTAGTCTCCTACTTTAGAACATGCAATGAAATAACTAGAACGTGAAAAACGTTTGTCTCTAATACTACACCAAGTTCATTCCAAATAACTGTCTCTATTTGCATGAACTTACAATGAAATAACTGGAACGCGAAAAATATGTTACGCGTCCTCTTTGTGTAAAACGGCTGCTAAATTGCAAACGTTTTTTAACTACCCGAAAGTAACGGCTACCCGAAAGTAACGGCCCCTTTGGCCTGCTAGATCCGAAAGTAACGGGGCTGTTACTTTCGGAATTCTACGGGAAATTATTTCCAATTTTGCAATTTTGTACCATGTGAACAGAGTTAGTACAACTATTTACTTTTATTCCGTTAGAGAGGCAGTCAAGTCGCTAACAGAAGATTTTTGTAGAAAATAATACTTCTTTATAGCGCTAAAGTACTCGGATAAGTTGAAAATATATATACGTTCCGTTTTTATTTCTCTTATGCCACTGTTGGTTTGTAAAAAAAGAAACAGATTCCACTTTTCACCGCACCATACTGAAAAGCAAGTCCATGCACAGTTGAGCTAAATCATCTTCTTTTTTTTTTAAGAAACCATTTTACCTAAAGCGGATAATCTCTAATGCTCAAGTAACATTAGCAGGCATGAATGTACTTTCTTCCCCGGCAAGGAACTCACCCTCGTTCCCAGTCTTTTTTCACCTCGTCCCTCGGAGGGGAAGTAAAAAAAGACTGACTGAGACCGAGATCGAACGAAGTTGCATAAATCTAACTATTTGGATGGTTCGAAAAAAATCAAAACGGATGCCAATTTTACCTGAACAGTACCTAAACTCCAGTGAATTGTAAATGGGCCTTACTGTTCAAGTAACTTCTGTGTTGGCTGTTTGATCCTGATATTTTTTGTCTGAAAACAATCAAACGTTTCTATTCGATCGATGCTAGGAGTTTATCTAAAGACGAACATATCTAGCTATAGAACACTCCGATCGAGTAGCTGGTTTATTGGTTAACTCTTCGATCCACAGCCTCTGTTATAAATTATCTTAACCTTTTCAGAACAAATTACAACCATTCAGAATTGAAAATGCTTTAAAGTTAGTAACACCTGGTTCACACTTGAGAACAAACACACGAGCATAAACGACATAAAATTATAAACCAGTGTGCACCGAGATGAAACAAGCACAAAACAGGAACTTTTGCCTTGTCCTTGCATGCGTTTGTGTTTATGCTTCGTATTTTACCTGTGTGAAGTAGCGTTAAGCAAGCACAAGTATTTGAACTATGTTCAGTAGCAGCTTTTTCTTCTATTCGTGTATTCATTGACTTTGTTTGAACAAGCGTGGTTGCTTGGTTAGCTTTAAGACTCGAGAAAACACGTGAGAAAATGTTTTTTTTGTTTCTATCGTAATTTTATGCATTATTCTTGAAAAACAAAAAAGTAGGAAACAGAAAATATATTCTTTGTGAATGAAAATGACTGACATGATCTGAAAGCAACGGAAACTGATCTTTTTTTAAACGAGCCGGCTATTTGTGTTGGACTGTGACTCACCGAAGGTAAGGCATGTACTTTAGTATATTGTAAAGTGCGGGCACTTCTGTTGAAAACGTGTAAGAAAATAAATATAGGTTATTGGCCGGCCGGGAGGTCCGTATTGAGAAAAACTGTGCCCGTGGTCTTGAGTAAGGCCCGAGGCCGTTAGGCCGAGGGCCTTACTCAAGACCAAGGGCACAGTTTTTCTCAATACGGACCGACCTAGGCCGGCCAATAACCTTTTTATTTTTTTCGTACTTCGTTTGAATTTGATAAAGAAATATTGAAATCTCAGGCTTGTTTTGCAAAATCTGTTTTTCACGCGCGCTAGTACATGTAGCTCAGAAGACTACCGAAGAAATAACCCAAAGTAACAAGAAACTCAGACGATTAATTTTTACACCACAAATATGTAATTACAGAAATGGAGACTAGAGCGGCATTTCATCACAAAGCAGCTGAAACGAGAAGCTATTTCCATTTTCACAAAAACCATTCAAAGCCGCCGTCAAATTCTACGACAATCTTCGGCAATCTTCCATACATTATTCTTGCCGTAAACAAATATCATGAAAAGCATTTTTCGAGCAAAACTGTTCCCAGTTACAGTCTTTACGTATACTACAATAATAAATTATTTTATTTCACATGTTAAATCTGATTTTTGCCATTCGGTGGCAATTTGCAGTTTTCATTTTATGCGAAACCCTGACAAACTTCGTCTCTTTCAAAGCCGACGGCATAAAATTGATACGTGCCGAGAATTATAAACGGGAATACCCAGAATGAAAATTAACGGAAGGTTTGTTTAGGAAAACAGAGAAACGAAAAGCAAACAATTAAAACGAAGGAATTGAGTCTAAACACGGTGAATTGTAATTTAAAACCCGCAAGTTTGAACGTGAAACTGATTTCCAAAAACGAACAACAAACTTGACTAAAACTAAATTCTGTCGGTTAAAATCAATGACTACTCGCCTTTTTGAAGAAATGCAAGCTCTTTAATTCCACTGCGTAGTTCTCCATTCACTTGCATTGACAACGATAAGAGAGCAAAATAATGCGAGAAATTCAGTAAAAAGCTTCTTCGCATCGACCTTCACACGTTGCTGAATTAAAATGTACGTTTTCGCTTGTAGCGCATGCCTACGCTACGATTCCGCGGGTCTCCGCCGGGTTCACGGGCAATTTTTCCCGCTCCCGGGACCAATATTGGCTTGATTAATATGTTTTTGTTGGTCTTACAGTATTAAACGCATTCTGGCAGTTTTAAAAAGCTAAGCGAAATTTTCTACCTTCGCGCGTTGCTGAAACGGTCCGTGAAGCCTCGGTTACCGTGACCGTGGTCAGAGATAGGAGAATACCGCCCGCTCCCGGAACCAATCAGATTGCAGGATTCGCAGGATACCGCCCGCTCGCGCACTGAGAAAAAAATAAATAGTACTTATTTCACGCAATAATGGCTGTGTTCATCAGTAATTTCTCGTAAATTAGGTTCACTAAGTTATTTTGTCAACAAAATTTGTTAATATTAGATCAATTGTCAGTAGTTGGATGACCTATTTGTTATTAGTCTTCAGTAGAAGTTTATAATACCTCATTTTTTTTATCGTTCAGTTAGCTTTAGAGAAAACGAACACTGAAATTTCAAAAACAAAAAGAGAGACTAAAGAGAGACCACACTGACAAATCATAATGATTATCATAATGCTTATACAGTGAACTCTCTCTAAGACGGACACCATTGGGGCCGGCACAAACTGTCCGTCTTAGAGAGGTGTCCGCTCATAGAGAGTTTAGATACAGTAACATGACTGAAAAATGGCGGCAGGGACCAACACCAAGTGTCCGTCTTACAGAGGTGTACGTCTTATAGATGTGTCCGTTAAGAGAGAGTTACTGTAATTAAAGTTTAAAATTATTCCAAAACATGCACTCCTTATCCAGAATCCAGCTCGCATCGGTATCATCCGATCGACCAACTCAAAGTCACCGCTAAAGCGGTAGTGAATCGAAAAAAAGCCGCTCTCATATTCAACAATCATTGAAGATTGGGTTTCTAAAGTAGATTTCTATTAAACAAAAACTAGTAGGATTTGTTAGTCAATACCAAAAACGTTCGATCGCTGCGATCGATGAAAAAATATTCGTCGACCGTAGCGACCGTATGGAAACCACTCTCCGGCGATCGATCGATCGAGCAATATTGCGATCGCATAGCGATGTTTGTGACTTCATTTCTCTCTAAGCACTGTGAGCTATATCTTAATCATTCGTTAACCACTTCAGTCTCAAGATTGAAATATTATTTCTCCTTACTAAGTGCAATACAGTTGCCTCGGTTAACATTTTGCCCGGCGTCTTTCATTTTCTTAGTGAAATACTGTATTTAATTTGAAAGTAAATAAAACATTAATTGCTGCACTAAAAAAGAAGCTTGAAATGTCCTTTAGCTATCTTAGCCAGAATAATGCCTCAGTGACAATTTTGATGTGGCTACAGGCCTTGTTGGCTCTGAGATTTGAATGGTACATGTAGATGAGTTTTTGACTGACTTTCAAGTTCTCGTTACCTGTCTGTTTAACATTATATTGATATTTGTGAGGAGAATTTAGCTATTGATCGTTCAGTTAAGACTGAATA